GATGGGATTGAGAGTGACATTGTGTGTGAGCCTTGTGTTGATAAAGAGCCTATGTGTATAGATTTTTAGTTAAAAAATCGAGGTGTTTACTTTTTGCTATGAAATGCTAATAACAAAATTTTGGCTCAGGGTGGCCCTCGATTGTCTATGAGAAAGGTGTACTTTGTGCATTCAATGTGGCATCAACGCAATTGCATGTTAATAGTTGGGACTTCATTCATGGGTTTGAGATTTTATGTAAAGATCTAGGTGTTATATTTATAGTAGATAATTTTTTTTACTTGTTTGAGTCTTGGGCCAATATATAAGAGAACTAGTTGGGTGTTTGTGAGTGGTGTGTCAAGTCGGGGCATGTTGTCTCTTTTCCAATCTTCATACAAGGAATTTAAAAGATCATTTTTGTTTGGATCCGATGTCTTGAGCATAATAGAAAATTGTTAGATGGTTTTCTCAATAATGGACCCAAGACTTAGTGACTTATAATGGCTTGAAATTTGTGGAACTATTGGAATCCAACTAAGAGGTTGTTCAAAAAATTGAGTAGTTAAATATCATTTTCAACACTATTTATTAGTTGAATATGTGTGTATGGGTAACAAGCTAGTGTATTTATAATTTTGGGTTTCTACTTTAAATGAATAAGGATTTGATGAATGCAACACCCTAATTTTTATAAAATTATATTAATATTACGTAGTATTTATTTTAATATTTTAATATGTTTATTAGAAGGATTTTTAATATTATTTAGCTTTATTTTTTATATAAAACATGTTATTTTTACTAAAAAAAATAGAAGTATATTTTATATTATTTATCTATTTTATGTGACCTCTATTTTAATATAAAACGTGATTTTAGTTAATATTTGGATTATTTGCTATAAGACTATTTTTTTGAAAATATGTTTTTATTAAGAATTATATTTATGTTATTTTTTTTTAAAAGGATGAAATTATTTTAATTATTTTATGAGAAGGGAAGGAGGGACGTAGTGGTCTTTTGCTAAATAGTATTATTATTATTATTATTACTAGCAAAAAAAAGTCACTCCATGCCTGTATTATATTAAAAGAAAAAATAAAAAAAGCATAAAAATGAAAAATTACTCATAAAAAAGGTAATTATTGAAAATTAAACAAAGGATAAAATGGTCCATGTAAAAATGGAAACTAAAAGTAGTTATTGAAAGTAGTATCCCCTTTATATATTAGTATAGATTATTATTATTGTGATTTATTCTTATTGTTTTTAAGAAAGGAGTTGTCAGGAGTTATTTTTACGCTTCTCACTTTCTCCTTCTTTTCTATGTGTGTGCTCTGAAGACTTAAGAGAAGTATGAGAAGGAGGTCACTGGAGAATCCTTTGTCTTCTACTCATCAAGGTAAGGGGGGGAGTGAGAAACCTCACTCGGGAGTGTGAAAATAATTGTTGGGTAGCAAGATTGACCCCCAATCTCTTGCTTGATGTATGCCTATAGGAATAGACACTTTATGAAAGTTTTCTGTTTTGCTTTCTGATTGTTTTGTTGTGTTCTTTGTGTGATTCTGAGTGTGAATATTAGTTCGATTTCAAGAATAGATAAGTTTTGATATGAATTTGAGTGTTCTATGGGTTCTTACAGGAAACCCTATGAGAAACAGACAAATTTTTAATGTTTTCTGTTTTGGCTTCTGAGTTTTCTATTGTGTTCTCTAATGAGTGTACTGAGCATAAATGTATGTTTAATTTTGAGTTTGGATATGTTTTGATATGGATTAGAGTGTCTTATGGGTTCCTACGGGAAACCCTATGAGAAACATAAGAAATAGGCAAATTTTGAATGTTTTCTATTTTGGCTTCTGAGTTTTCTGTTGTGTTCCTTGATGTTTACTGAGTGAGAATATGTGTTTAATTTCAAGAATAAACAAGTTTTGATATGAATTAAAGTGCTCTATGAATTCTTGTGGGAAATCCTATGAAGTGAAATTAGGGATACGATCTTTGGATGAATTTTGAGGCATTATATGTAAAATTGATGATGGATTCATGTTTTGGATAATATTTAAAGTGTTTTGAACAATTAAAATATTATATGTAAAATTGATGATGGATTCATGCGTGAAATCATGAAGTTGAATTTATGACCTTTATGCTTCGTATATTATGAATTGCGAATTGAATGGGTATGATGTTAGATAATTTCTTGGTATGGTTTATGTGCTATTTTGATGTATATGAGTACGAGAAGTTCTTTGTATGAGACTATGTGAATATGACATGAAAATATGAAAAGTGAACATATGATCTATGATATGATATTATGAGATAATATGACATGAGATATGATGAGACGTGATAAGTGAAATATTGAGTCAATGAAATAGTGAATGTGTGACATGCATCATGTGCATATATGACTCCAAGTGTGCCTCTTAGGCCGCATGCCAGTGATGTATTGAGCTATTCCAGGTGTACCTTGGGTCACCAGTGATGAAATGATCTATTCCAGGTGTACCGCTTAGGCCGCATGCTAGTGATGTATTGAGCTATTTCATGTGTACCTTGGGTCACCAGTGATGTATTGAGCTATTCCAGGTATGTCACTTAGGCCGCATGCCAGAGATGTATTGAGCTATCCTAGGTGTACCTTTGGTCACCAGTGATGTATTCTGAATGAATGTGCCCACAGGTATGTTGCTGTAGCAGCATACCAGTGATGAGAAATGTGCAACTTTCATATGGCGCCACATGCATGCATTTATGAGTTGAGTCCATGACATTATTGCATGATAAGTGAATGTATGTATTCTAATGTATCTATAACTTGACAGTTATGCTTGGTTATGTGTAACTTGTGTGGTATTTGTTATGATTGTGTGTGTATTGCCTAACATTTATTTCTACATCTGAACCAGAGTGAGATTAATGTTTTATTTTATCATCATTTCCGCATTGGACTACGATTTGCGAAATATGAATGTGAACTCTCTATCTATGTGTTTTGGAACCTTATTTCAATTAAGAAAGTTTTATTTACTCAAGAATGTAATTTATATTTATTGTGTATTATGTATGTGAGGTAGAGGGTGTCACAATGAATTTTCTATCCGTGCAAATGAAATGGAAATCACGTCAAATTGGGAATTGATGATGTTGTGGAAACAACAAGAAGCTTTCCAAAGTCATTGATGTTGATAAATTGATTGGTGGTGGAGTTCGTGGGGACATCTCCCAAATGAACAAGGGTAAGAAACTTGTTGTGACCCTTTTCAAAAGACATTGATAATCCAAGAAGATTATCAGTGTGGACAGCCTTGACCAGACTAGAGATCACCCAAAGATTATAGGTAGAAAAGAGGTGACTGAGGTGGAGGTGGATTTTGATGAGATATTAATGTATATCACGGAGAACTAGGATGTCGTCAACCTCAAAACTGACAAGGGGGAGTTAAGTCATTTTGGGGTGAGAAATTCAACAATTTGACCCATATTCAAGGAACCAACCTACTCAAGGGTGATAAGGCTAACCTTGAGCTATTTTCCATTTCTAAGGGGATGAAGTCCTTGACTAACCTCTTATCATATTTGCTTATCATTAACAAGGACAAAATTAAATAAATGGTGAAGGAAATTAAGCATCAAGCAAAGAGAATTGCCACCCTCGAAGAAAACCTAAATAAGGGAAAAGTTGATTTGAAGTGGGTGACTTTTGAGAAAGATAAACTGATTGAGAGTCGATGTGGTTTTGATGATGAAAGGAAAGCGTGGGAAGAAGAAAAAACATGGTTGAAGAAATAGCTAGCTAATGGAAAACTTGCTAAAGAAGAGGATGTTGACCCCACTTAGGTGTTTAAGGTCAAGATTATGTCTTGTAGGCAAAGATTGAGAAGTTGGATGCAGTTCATCTAGCCATTAAAATGGACACGATGAACAAGGAATTTAACCCATTTAGAATTGTTTGAAATCTCCCAAGCATTTCATCAATGATCTCGTTCTCATTCATGGAGAACAACTCATATTGTCTCTAAAAAGTGGTAGCTCGTCTGACTTTAACATCCTTAATACCCTTATGAGTTACCCTGATGGTATCCCACATTTCTTTGGTCATAGAGTAGTTGTAGATCTTGTTGTAGTCAGTTCTAGATAAGGAGCACACTAAAATGTATTTTCCTTTTTTGTTGAGTTGTAGAATGTTGTAGTCCTCTCGAGTGTATTGGCTCTCAAGCTTAGTAACAACTACATCTCCTTGTGTGATGCCCTCCAAAAGGTGGTATTGGATGGATTTAATGAATATTTTCATTTATCCTTCCAATATTGGTAGTCTTCATTAAGAACTATTGACCTTCTAAGTGAAGCTCCTTTTGGTAGGTATTGACCTTCACCACTTCTCACAATGGATCTTTTTTCCTTTAGCATGGTTAGATGCTCAACCCCATCAAAGGTTGAGCTCTGATACCAAATTATGGAGAAAAGATAAATAATAGAAGGGGTAGTTGAATAGTGTCAATCAAAAACTCACGCTTTTTCAAGTAATAAAGTAGTAATGCTAATAGTAAAGAGTGCTAGAGAAGAGGCAAATGAAACACATGATAATTTTTATATCAATTCATCTCAACTACCGAGACTACATCCAATTTTCAATGTAATTAGATTGAGTCTCACTATTTTAAACAAGATACAAGTATTCTTTCAAAAGGCCACTTTTGGCTCAAATGTAAGTGTTTTTTGGATTTCCTCTTCAAGCAATCTACCCAAGTATTCTTTTTCACACAAAGCCTCTCTAGGCTTCAACATCGAGTATTCTTTTAAAGACAAGCCTCTCCAAGCTCAACCAAGTATCCTTTTACAATCAAGCTTCTCCAAGTTCAATCTTATAACAATAGCTATATCTGGGTAAAGTTTTATAGATGTTGGTTCATCTTATAGATAAGATGTGATGCAACTAATTAAGAACAAAAGTCTTTACAGAAAGAATGAATAAGTCATAATATTATACATAATTTCTCTTCCTTTTTCAGATCTTGAAGTTTCTTGTATAGTAGCCTGGATGAAGGTAATCGTTGCAAAACCTTAGGAGTTCCTCACAAGCTTGCTTCGTTACAAGTTCCTTGAGATGAAAAGTGTTAGTTGATACATTAAATATTTGTATGAATTGCATTTCACCAAATTGTCACTTCTTATCTAATCAAGGAGGCTACTTATCAGCTTTAAGATACCAAACGAACTATATGTGGCCTATGTTAGTGGGGAGCAGGTTTTGCATCAACTTTTGTTGAATTCTTTTGTGATTTCAAGGGTTTACTTGTCCTTGTTTCTCATGTAAAGCATGGATTCATTAACATTAACAAATTTGTAAGTTCTAATGAGCTTTCTTAGTTTAATTTGTTAAGAAATCAATTAGTCATGTAATAAGTAGTCATTATTCATTATAAATGATACATATTTAAGACTCTAGGCTATATGCTTTGTTTGATGACATATTGTTTGTCTAACAATTTGCATCTTATGCTTCATCTGATATGTATTTTGAAAAAATCATTTTCTCTAATAAAAATGTTATGTTTGTTATCATTAAAACTTGAAAAGCTTAAGGATCCAAGATCGTCTTTTGACTTAACATACTTCTAAAATAACATTTTTCCTCTAGTCCTAAGTTCACAACACAATTCAACAATAAGCATAATGTATATCCCCTATAACTTAACACAATTCAACACCATTCATATTTAAGGCTTTAGGAAATATGCTTTGTTTGATGACATATTGTTTGTCTAACAATTTGCATCTTATGCTTCATCTGGTATGTATTTTGAAAAAATTATTTTTCTCTTATAAAAATGTTATGTTTATTATCATTAAAACTTGAAAGCTTAAGAATCCATCGTCTTTTGACTTAACATACTTTTAAAATAACATTTTTCCTCTAATCCTAAGTTCACAACACAATTCAACAACAAGCATCATGTATATCCCCTATAACTTAACACAATTCAACACCATTCATATTTAAGACTTTAGGCAATATGTTTTGTTTGATGACATATTGTTTGTCTAACAATTTGCATCTTATGGTTCATCTGGTATGTATTTTGCAAAAATCATTTTCTCTTATAAAAATGTTATGTTTATTATCATTAAAACTTGAAAGCTTAAGAACCCATCGTCTTTTGACTTAACATACTTTTAAAATAACATTTTTCCTCTAGTCATAAGTTCACAACACAATTCAACAACAAGCATCATGTATATCCCCTATAACTTAACACAATTCAACACCATTCATATTTAAGACTTTAGGCAATATGCTTTGTTTGATGACATATTGTTTGTCTAACAATTTGCATCTTATGGTTCATCGGATATGTATTTTGCAAAAATCATTTTCTCTTATAAAAATGTTGTGTTTGTTATCATTAAAACTTGAAAGCTTAAGGATTCAAGATCGTCTTTTGACTTAACATACTTTTAAAATAACATTTTTCCTCTAGTCCTAAGTTCACAACACAATTCAACAACAAGCATCATGTATATCCACTATAACTTAACATAACAACACCATTCATGTATATAACATACAACTCAACACAATAACATGTTTTCAACATTAAAACAACTCATATCATTCATATATCAAAGCTTATAAATCATAATTCCCATTCGGCACAATCATGCCCGATATTATCAAACCCGCACCTAACATCAAACAAGATAGATCACCTCTAAAGTAGACACGCTCGACATCACTCATCCCGCATATGAAAAAATGAGACAAAGAGCCTCTAGCTTACTCACGCCCAACTCCAATCCCATTGCACCTAACAAAAACTAGGCAAACAATCTTTGAGTAATTCATGCCTGATGCCACTCATCTCGTGCCCAATGTCAATGAGGTAGAGAGCCTTCGAATTACTCATGCCCAACGTCATTCATCCCATGCTCAACGTCAATGAGGCAGAGAGCCTCTAACTCACTTGACAAAAATGAGGTAAAGAGCCTCTAGCTCGCTCATGCTTGGTGCAATGATGTTGCACCCGATATGATGACAATTTCTACACTTGGCAGAATTACAATTCGGGTTCAAAAATAACAAAATCCTTTTCCAATCCAACATGCAACTCTCAATTCAACACATATACAATATTAAAAAGAAAACTCTAATATTATCAACTCATTTCCAAACAACCAAAAACCTAAGAAACAAGGTTCTTCACTTAATTAAGCAACATAGCCACAAATGGACAAGTTCAGGCAATAAACAACAAATGCAACACAACAAGATCAATATACAAGCTTCCTTTATCAAATCCCTAAGAAAAAGAAGGAAGAGAAGAATGATAAGCAAAGAATGCAACATCCCAAGTTATTGCCATAGGACAACCACAAACCTCTAATTCTTAGCTCCCCAAACTTTGAATCATGACTCAACTCCTACAATATGAAGTTTGGGGAAGGATAAGAGTGATTCTATGAAGTCAAAAGGAAGAACAGTCTTCTTTTGCTCTAAAGCCCATCTTTCTCTAGAATTCTTAAGAAATGAACTTATGAAGTTCAACATTTAAGAAAACCTTATATATTTTTTTCTAAACTTGATCAATTTTGACCTCAACACAAAACAACTTCCAAACAACTAAACTCATAAGAATTTCTTAACCTAAGAGTTTCAAAATATTAAAACAACATATTAGCATAAATCATTTACTTAATAAAATTAAATAAACAATAATACAAATCCCATTGTTACACTATTAAATGTAATATTATTAGAGTTTAATTTAAATATTAATAAAGAATGTTTTATATTGTAAACTAATAAGTATTTATAAGATAAAACAATAAGATATGTTAGATAAAATCAAGAGAGGTAAAATGTAATAGTGAAACTTTATTATCATTGTTGCATACGAAAGAATACAAGGAGTACTGAATATATAGGGAACCCTTCCTAAATATTGTAGTGAGAGAAAAGAGAGAAAACAGTTGTAAAAGCAACCAGCGGAGAGAGAAAAACAAGAGAGGTGGCTGGACAGCTGTCCACTAAAAGATTCTGAAGATATCCTAAAGATATCATAGAATGCAAAAAGCAAAAAGGACTAACAAACAAATATTCCCTTTTTGTTGTAACCCATATACACTAACAACCCCCCTCAAACTCAAGGTGAAGTTTTGACAAAAAAAACTTTGCACTTTGAGTTTGTCCCTAAGAACTTCAAACCGTGCAGCAAACAAAGGCTTAGTAAGAAGATCAGCCCATTGATCTAGAGCTGGTATGTGATAAACCAGAAGTTGCTTGGATAGGACTTTGTCACGAACAAAGAACACATCAATCTCCATGTGCTTTGTTTTGCTGTGGAAAATAGGATTGTGAGCAATGGCCACTGCGCTTTGATTGTCACAGAGCAAAGTAGGTGTAGAAAAGGGAACCTTAAGTTCCTGCAGAAGGGCTTGAATCCAAGTTAATTCAGCAGAGGCTTGGGCTATATTGTGATATTCAGCTTCTGTGCTGGACCGAGCAATAACACGTTGTTTCCTGGACCACCAAGATATCAAATTGGGTCCAAAAAAGATAGCAGAACCAGAAGTGGACCTCCTGTCATCAATATCAGAGGCCCAATCAACATCACAAAAGGCAGTGAGGGAGATGGGTCCATCTACAGCAACAGGTTTCATATGAAGACCATAAGAGAGTGTGCCTTTTAAATACTTGAGAATTCGTTTGACAGCCACCCAGTGAGAGTCAAGAGGAGTAGCCATAAATTGAAAAACTTTGTTAACAGCAAAACTGATTTCAGGTCTTGTAAGTGTAGCATACTATAAGCCACCAATAGCAGATCGAAAAAGAGTGGGATCATGAAAGAAGTCATTCCCAGACCTGGACAATTTGCAGTTAGAGAACATATGAGAAAGAGCACCATGAGCTTTAGCCAAATTAGTTTTAAAAAGAAGGTCTCGAATGTACTTGCTTTGAGTCAGAACCAGAGACTTGTTAGGCAAGTGTTTAACCTCAATACCTAGAAAGTAATCCAAGCTTCCCAATTGCTTTAAAGAGAAAATTGAGTCAAGTTGGTTGGTGATTTGCTGAATGAGCAAAGAAGAGTTGCCAGTGATAATGATGTCATCCACATAAACTAGAATAAAAATGGTATGAGTTTGATGTTGGTACCGAAACAGAGATGGATCACACTTGCTAGCTTGAAAACCAAACCGAGTTAGAGTCAATTTTAATTTTTCAAACCACTGACGAGGAGCTTGTTTCAAGCCATAGGGAGCCTTGTTTAGCTTGCAAACCAGACTCTTATCCCCAGCTTCAAATCCAGGAGGTTGCACCATGTAAATAGTTTCTTCCAAAGTGCCATTCAGAAAGGCATTATTTACATCAAGCTAAAATAGATGCCAAGTATTGGTGAGAGCAAGAGTGAGAATAATGCGAATAGTTATAGGTTTAATAAAAGGGGAAAAAGTCTCATGAAAATCAAAACCATGCACTTGATGAAAACCCTTTGCAACCAGCCGAACTTTGAGCTTATCTATAGAGCCATTAACATTTTCCTTGACTCTGAAAACCCATTTACAGCCAACTACTTTGCGATTAGATGGCAGAGAAACTAAATCCCAAGTATGGTTGAGCATTAAGGCATTGTACTCTTGTTGCATAGCAGAGAACCAGTTAGGATTAGCAAGAGCTTGCTTAACAGTTTTAGGTTCACTGAGCTAAGAACAGGGATGGATGTATCCGATGATTATGAAAGCCAGATTTAGACCTGGTTTGCATAGGATGGTTATTAATGGTTCTTGGTATACTGGTAGTGGCAGTGGAAGAGGTAGGAGAAGAGACATTTTGTGAGGAAGACTCTGTAGGAATGATTGATACACTTGATTCACCAATTTGAGAAGGCAAAGGAGGCTGCTTGGAGAGAACAATTGAAGTGGTGCAAGGAGGAGACAAATCTAGATTGAGATTGAAGTATTGACATGGAGAGACATTTTGTGTAAGGCTTGGCTGAAACAAATCTGTGTAAGGAAACCTATGTTCATTAAAGATTATCCTTTGAAATGTAAATTCGGCCAGAAGAAGAGAGAAATTTATACCCTTTGTGAGAGTTTGAGTATCCCAGAAAAACTCACTCCTGGGATCTGAAATTAAGTTTATGACTGGCATATGGTCTTAAGAAAGGAAAACAAACACAACCAAAGGTTCTTAAGAATTTATAATCTGGTGATTTGTTGAATAAAGTAGTGAATGGAACATTAAAGTTTAATGCATCAGAGGGCAATCTATTGATAAGATAAACATCAGTGGTAAAAGAAAAAT